GGGTGGAAGCTCTCCTGCAGCCCCCCAATTGCCCCCTCTCCCCAGATGGCAGCCTGCGGCAAGTGCAGCCAGGCTGATGGCCGAGTGCTGTGATGTGCCCAGTGTTGGCACTCAGGGCACTCCAAGCCAGGACTGCTTTGCAAGCGGGGCACCCCTGAGAATTGTCTGTCTGGGGTGGGGGTCGGGAACCTTTAAGCACAGCCCTCGGCTAGCCTGAGACAGCATTTCCACGCTCTAAGTCCTCCTCTGATGCCCTGCCGGCACTACTTCCGGCCATCCTTAACCCCACTTCAGGGTCCACTTAATGTGGACGCGCTAGTTCGAATTTGTTTTTAGTTCTAGATGCGTTAGTTCGAATGTTTCAGTTTTCATTTCTTTTGTACTGAATTTTTCCCTATGTTTACAGGTTGACTCATTTTATCTATCTGTAGCACAACAGTTCTATCACACTCATCAACATGGTATCTGAACATTTTGCAAAAATCAAAAATTATATTAAAATATCTCTAGTTTTCTTCCTCATCTTCCCTTTATTTTAGGGGTTTCTTGTGGGTTTGTTTTTTTAAAATTATGGGAGGGGAGTGAACATTGTATTTTGTTCTGAATACAATGAGGCTCATGGTTATCCTAATCTTTTCTAAAAATGGATTCTAAAAATATCCTAGTCTCAAGACAGAGTTGAAAGTTATGCATATTATAAACATCAAAACTTTAAGGCAATACATTATTGTAACAATGCCAAGTTTTATAAATGGGTATTCACTTTTGAAAAACTCATGAAGAATGAGAACACATAAAAATGTCCTCCACACGTATTCTTGTTTGGAACCTAACCTATTTGTTTTTATTCCCTCCACTTTCATATCCTGAGCATAACAATTAACTCATCTATTTATTAGTCAGTATTATTCATATATCAGTAATTCATACCTCAAACATCATCTTCAGTCACATTAGTAAGCCTATAATAATTCCAGAACAACCAAAAAAGCTACAACTTTTTTCAGATATGTTTTCCTTTACTGTTTGGACTGGAAAAATTATCAGAATTTAATTTTATAAAATGTATCTTACCTGAATGTATGCTGAAGTGAAGCTGATTCAAGTCACCATAATATCAAAAGTACACAAACTGTAAAATCTCTGAATAAGAAAGGATACATTCGTATGGCTCCTGTTCTTGTCCCAATAGCCAGAATTTTCTGAACTGGGTCAAAAGCTAAGGCAGTGGGCAAATAAGGAAAACCATGGCGAACCGTCTGAAATAGAGCAAACAATTAAAGTATAGGATCTGAAGCACTAAATTCACTATACATATTGCATACCAACTGCATGTAAATAGAATTTACAAATTATTCAAAACTGTATTTGCTCAAAATAAATGTTATCAAAAGAAACTATTTTGAAGCATATGCTATTTAGACCCATACAAATTACTTTCCAACAAAGACATTTTAAATCATGTATTTTATAAATATTTGTAGCAATATAGGAAAAGACAAAATATACATAAATGAAAACAACCGGTACATGTTGTTCGTTTGCTGTATAGACATTCTTTCATACTATCAAAGACAACTGTAGCTATACACTGATAGTACATAAAATGGTGCTTCAAAACACTGCAGCAAACAGGAGTAACAAAAAAGAAACGGAATTAGAACCGGGGTTCTCTTTCGTTTTCAAGAGGGACACAATCACCCTCCTGTTTTTATCCTTTAATTAAAATATATTACACTTGTAGTTGCAGATATGATCCTGAAATAGTGAACAGAACGAGCATAAATTGACGTAGTAATGCATGCCTGAATCTGCAGATATGCTGAAACAATAGCAACACTAGTTCTTAAACTGGGGATTGTGAACATGTTTTAGGAGGAGGTGAGGAATCTACCCTTCTGTTGTTGCCAAGTAGGAGAAATGCCCCATCTAGACTGTAGTGTGGGAAAAGGAGTCCCTGGAGGGAAATGTTAAGAATTACTGCACTAGAACAAAAAATGTTTAATAAATTATAGAAAACTATCCCTCACATAGGGCTTTGAAGAATATTGGCCTTCATTCCTACCTAGTCTTTAAATTGAAAAAGAATCTAATCTATGATGGTGAGAGATATGATGCTGACAATCATTAGTAATTAATTGTTGTCAATGATATGGAAATTAAAAAAAAACAAAAACAAAACAAAAACTCAAATCACTATAGTTCCAGTCTCTTGTTGGGAGGTCTGCATTATTTCAGAATAAACAGCTTTGTTTTTGCAGTACCCTGGCCGGAGTTGGAATATTGTGCAATACAAATACTCTGCTATTGTCAGACTTTCAAGGATTACCAAGGTTTTGAATTGGGCCAATATTCTCTACTGTCTTTCTTTGGATGTTTTTCCTCCCCACTGTCTATTTCACTTATTTTCTTGATAACTAGGATTTCTCTGTTCTTGTCTATTCATTTCCTTCACCATGAGAAAGAAACATGATTCCACATTGTCTACATGGCTTCATTTCAGTGTTAACAATTTACAAATTTCTTCTGAAGAAGAGAATATATTTTGTAGTTCCAGCAATTCCAATACCAGTAACATTTTCTTATAGGGGTTTCCTAGACGGAGCTTAAAATTAGTTTCCTTTGAATCTGGAGACCTGGAAAGTGAAGGATTTTATAAAACCTGTTTTGCATTTCTATCCATATTTTCAGCATTTTCTTTTTATTCCCAGTATTTTTATGGTGCAATAAGAGTCAGACTTTTCATTCAGAAGTTTTGTTTGGAGTCCAAGTAAAAGGCAGATGAATTTGTGGGTGTGGAATTATATTTCTTTGTGACTTTTCAAAGCAGTGGCTAAGCTTGCTGAAAACTCAGGCCCTCCTGCTTCCATCCTTTTCTTATTTTTCATGATTTTTAAAGCTGATTATTGAGCTCTCCTTACTAACTTGTGTTCCAAGTAATGTATTTCTCATCAAATGTACCTAAATGGCAATTCATTACAAATTATGGCTAAACTGAATTTTGATTAAAAATATAGTGTGAGATCAAGCCCATATGCAATGGGGGGGGGGGGGTGTGAAAGGTGCGAATGCACATACCCCAATGGTCCGGATTCCGGCCGGAGGGGGTAAGGCAGGAGAGGTGCCCTGCACAAGCCTCCCTCACCCACACTCCAGCCGGGTAAGGAAAGGCAGGGGCTGACATGCCCCACTCCAGGAGCTTTTATTGCACTATGTCAGGACAAGGCATAGGGCAGGACCAGGCCACCATGTGCACAGCTACTGTCCTTCCAGCACATATGTCCCTTCGCAGTCAGCTACAGCTTCAGCAGGGACAGCATGCAGGGGATGCGGGAATGAGACTTGCGCAGGCTCAGAGGTAACCCAGTCTGTAGTGGAAGTGGCTTGGGGGCAGACGCTGGGGCTGTGGGCTCAGCTCATCCACTGAGGCAGGTAATTGCTACTTATACAACTTCTATTCCCCCCCCCCCCCCCACACACACACACCCTCAGGCTGTGGCATGCTGCAGCTGAACCAAAACTAACACACAAAGTTTCTTTCCTGTGCAGAAGTTTGCATTGATGCTGGCAAGTGGAGTGGTTGGAATGTAAGTACATGCTACTCTCAGGAAGAACCCCCCCCTTCCGCCCACGCACCCACCCACACAGAGCATTCCTTCTACACACTCAACTGGCTAGCTCAGACCTTACCCCTTCAAGCTGGGTGTTAGCTGTATAAAGGGTATCTCAAGAAGTATGTTTAGACCTGACCCCTTGTGTCTGAGACCAAGTGTTATAATATTCTCTCCCTTCTCGGTTGCTCACTTTTCCTTCTCTGCCTATTTAATGTCATTATGTCACTTGGTCACCATCCTACGAAGGCCTTGAATTTCTATTGTAAGCCAGGAGGAAATCACATTTAAAAATGGAAAAGTGATAATTTATACATTTAAAAGTAGCAACAAAAAACACACAAAAGTCCTGCTTGGTTTCTTCCCCCCCCTTTCCAAGTCACCTTTAAAGAGGACTTTAAATTTTCTTTATAACTCATACTAGCGACATAAGTAAATGACTTTCATTTTAATATAACTAACCTATTTGCATTGGTGTAAAATAATACAGATCTTCACAGGGAAATAGTGACAAACTATAATAGCTTTAAAAACAATACCATACACAGCATTTAGGCATGTAAGAATTTTAATCTAAATGTGTGTGTGTGTGTGTGTGTGTGTGAGAGAGAGAGAGTGAGTGTAAGGAAAGTGTGTGACAGATTTCCCCTTGCACAGATTTTTATTTTTCAAAGTCGAATTTTGCTTTCCCATATCCAAGCCTGAATTATATGGGCAACCAGAATAAAGGGCATAGCAGTGATGTTCTGATATATGTTTAAGACCCATAGCCATCGCTGCAAGACTTTTGGAAAAGTTAAATTAATATAGGGAGAAAAGTAAGTAACATACCCCTAGATCCGATCATTAGATCTCTGTGGTCAAATCAATGTGCTCCTTGTACTAAGAATATTTTCATCTTGTTTACTCCCTTTTATTACTTCTGTAAAAATATTTCGTCTAATAAATTACAGCATATTTGTTCAACCCACTAATCTGTTTAATGCAACACTGGCCTTTACAATTAACATCAAAAGGCTGAAACAAGGGAAGAAATTGAAAGACCAAGGGATAATTTGAGATGAATGAGGATTTTTTTAAGTAATAAAGATTTATAATTATAATGTGAAGACATAGCATTTCTAACATCAGCTATTCATATTTGTGAAAGTTTGAAAACAGACTGAGAGAGATAAACTTGAGTCAAAATTTTAAAAATCGGAGCTTAAGAGTTAGGCTTCTAAATCCTTATAGACCTATATAGAAGTGGTTTTCAAAAGTGCTGAGAACCCAATAACTTCTATGACCTTCAGTACTTTGGAAAACCAAGTCTTTTCAGTGCCTACAGCTCTACTATTTCAATGAGAATAAACCTTGACATCCACAATGCAGAATCAGGAATTTGGATCCTAACTTTAGCAGGCCTGTACACAGGGTATGTGTGAAGGGTGCGAACGCTGATTTCTCCTGCCCCAAGAGTGTGGCTGGGGGAAGAGCTGGGCCTCACTCTTGCGGGAAGGGGGGAAATCAGCCCCCGCCTTCCCCTGTCCAGCGGGAGCATGGGAGAGGGAAGCTCGAACAGTGCACTGCTCCTGCCTTCCCAATGGGCCGGAGCACGGGAGAGTATGGGGGTAGGGGAGATTGCACCCTTGCAGTCCACATTTATAAAGAAAGCACACTCCTGTGTATGGACCTGGAAATACTCCTGAGAAAAGAAAACAAACAAAACCAAAAAATACTTGTTCCCAGAACTGAGAAGTAACTTCGGCTAAGAATCTCTACAGAGGTAGAGAAGGGGAGGATGCCCCATGACCTGTATTTTTTTCTGCAATGTCATCATGGATTTTTTCCCACATTAAGTAAGCGTTGGGCAAGACAGCCTCCGTGGACTGAATCTGGCCCACCAAGCCAATTGATCCGGCCCATGGTTGCCCTGCTGCTCCTCCACCCCCAGGCCATCGAGATTTGGGAACAGAGATGCACACCAAGTTTCCCCCCTGTCACCAGGGGTGTGTAGGGCCTAGACAGAACTACAAGCTGTTTTGAACAGGCCATGGAGGGGAAAGACTTCATGCGCTCCCCTGTCCCCAGGACCTGATTGGCTTGGGGATGGGAGGGAGTAGGTGAAGTTTCATTCCACTGCCAGGGGCACATGGCACCTAGAGGGAACTATCAGCTATTCCAAACAGCTGGTGGTTCTCTCTAGGCGCCACACGTTCCTGGCAGGGTGGGGGGCTAACACTTTGTGCACTCCCCCACCCCAGGCTAATCAGAGTTTGTGGGTGGGGGCAATACGCAACATCTCCTGGCCCTTCCCCTTCTGCCAGAGGCCCTGCCCCTTGTGGGGCAGTCCCTAATCTCTTCTGAAGCTTGTGAAGTGGGCCCCCTTCAAAAATTATTGCCTACCTCTGCATTAAGTTGAAGACTCAATTACCTGTAACAGAGAAACAGAGTGGCTGACAGCACTCTTTGGTAAGACTGATCCATGAACTGCCAATCATCAAAACATAGGAATATTAGCCTCTCACCATTGTTAGAACCTTTGAAAACACACTTTTAGATGAGGTGAGCCCAATGCTGAGGACTTAGTATTGAAATGATCCTGGTCTGTAACAATTTATTTTATTTTATTGTCTGTGAAATGAATGTATTGCTATATGGTGATATGC